TCCTTAAGCCATTTTGACCCTGACCTTTGGAATTCCAAACTATCTTTGCTTTTTAAAAGAACCCAAAGATCCTCAAACAACTTCTTCCTACTTACAAGTTCCTCTTCGGATAACCCCAACGATTCGCTTTTGATCTCCAATTCCTCAATTGCAAATGTGAGGTCATCAATTTTTTTATCAATGTTACCATAAACCTCCTTGTTCCATAGTTTGAGAGACCCTTTAAGCAATTTCATCTTCTCCTTCACTACATACCCCTTCCAACCCCTAACCTCAAAGGATCCCCAAGCGTCACTAACCACCTTCCGAAAGCTAGGATTACTCAACCAAAAGTTATTGAATCTAAAGGGTTTCGGGCCCCAATCATGATCATCGTACTTTAAAAGAATTGGGCTATGATCCGACACATCCCGCTTTAGACCCCAAAGAGACACATTACCCCACTCCATATGCCAATTTTGAGACACCAAAATCCTATCCAATCGGCTTAAGCACCTCCCATTTGGTTGCATCCAAGTGAATTTTCTTCCCATGAGTGGTAGATCGATCAACCCGGTGTTATCAATGAAGATATTAAAAAGTCTCATGTCCTCAACAACCTCTCCGCCTACTCTCACCCCCTTCCTTTCCTCCCTACTCCTTACCGCATTAAAGTCTCCTAGAATGCAATAATGATCAGCACCGTAGACCCGCATAGCAACCAATAAATCCACCCAAAGCGTCTTCTTCGCATTTAGAGAACATGGTGCATATACATTCAAAATAACACACCTTAGTTTCTTCACCCCCCATTCTAAGCAAACTCCCAAGTAGCCTTGCCCTTGAAATGACGACAACAAGGAACCTTTGTTAATGTCCCACATAGTTAGCAACCCGCCACTCCTACCAATTGCTATAGAGTTTCTCCAACCAACATTGTCTCCACCCCAAAGCCGAGCACAAAGCTTACTATCCACTTCCCCAAGTTTTGTTTCTTGTAAAGCAATTAACTCCACCCTTTGTCTCCCGATCAACTCTCTCACCTTCTTTTTCTTTATTCTCCCCCCCAAACCTCTAACGTTCCATGAGCATATTATCATGGATCCACCTCCTCGTCCCCTAAATCAACCTCTCTGGTAACATCATTTGCTTCCATATCCATAAGTCTTTCTACCATTGAAATTCTCTCAACGATACTTGTAGCTCCCATGTTTAAACCTATATTAAATAGCCTCTCTGCTTCTATACGATACGCCCGATTTTCCAAGTCGCACACAACATTTGATTCACCTTCTACAAGGACCACTTTTATTGCTGAAACTTGTATACTTTTTTGACATCCAACAACACCCTCCAACTCTGTAGAATCGTTGCTAATTGAATCATTTGACCCTTCGACCTCATATTTATTCTCCGTTTTTCCTTTCTTCTTCCTCTTTCCCTTCTTACCACGTCCCCCCCTTTGAACCGCTTGGACCAACCTATCACACATAGTAAACCCTCCAAAACCTCCAGCTGCCTTCTTTGTATGACCTCCTCCTCCCTTTAATAAATTGCTCCGCTGTCCCGTCCCTTGTGTTACACGGCCAGTATTTTCTTGTTGCACCTCTAATTCATATTCTAAAGCCAGCTTAGCCACTCCCTTGTCTTTTAAAAATTTAGTGAGATGGTTCTCTGCAGACAGTTTCTCTTGGCCCAGCCCAATTGGTAGTCCAGCCCAATTGGAGCAACTACCCCTCAAAATATCAACGTATCTCTTATCCACCTCATCCTCCCATATTACCACTTTTTTTTGTTTTTTGTCCACCTGGTTATTTTCAACCCCTATTGGGCCCAACCCATCCAGCCCACACCCCAAGTTGGAGACACACATTAAAGGAGACCCACCACTACTTTTTTCCCCAAGACCTAGTCCATTCGATCCACCTTCTTCTCTGTCTTCTTCCTGCTGCGCAGAAAAATTGTCTGTGTTGTTACTTAATTTTTCACCCACAACCTCCCATCTATCATCTTGTGTCAGCGCTACCACCTCTACCTCCACTGATAAATCAACTTCAGCTCCACCTTTTTCAACCTCCTTACCTACTTCTGCTCCTAATTTTGAGCAAACTGTTGCTTTCACAAGATTGTGATTTTCTCTTACCTCTGCAGAATTCTGACCAAAGACTGTGACATGTTGAGAGTCTTTACCCACCGTATCATAGCCTTCACCTAGCCGTTGTGGATCTTTATC